ATCACGTTAAAATTATAAATCGCTTTAAAATAAATAAGTTTTTCATATTAATTTTAATGATATTTTCTTATTAATATATTTTAATAAGTTCATTAATTATTATTTTTATTTGATTTAAAATCTAAGCACAACAATGATATGATGTAGAATTGAAAAAGAATGATTGAGGAAAAACATACTTACCCTCTACCCTATCGAGTTTGGGAATTTTTTTGCCCCAAACCTTTAAAAGTAAGGTCCATTTCATTAAAAAATAGTCATTATCACTAACCAAGTAACTCATTTGTATCTATTTGTTAAATTGTATAGCATAATTAACTATGAAAATTTCTTTCCTAACTATTAAGGTATTTAGAACTAATTTTTGTGCACTTCTATCAGTATTAATTTTTTTTAATTTAGTTAAAGGCATATCATTTTTTTCATATTTAATTAATTAAAAATTTTATGAGAAATTATTTTTTTATTGACATTTTCAAAAGATTAAAATTAAATCAATAATATAAGAAATAAACTTCTTAACCAATTAACTCTATCCTGCTTCATAATTAAGGAAAGTTTTGGAAATTACTACAAATTTGTGGTTTAAATTCCAGTTCTCTAACGAAGTTGATTGCATCTTATAGAAATAGTCTTCTTTTGAAGAAACCCCTATGTTTGGAAGTTAATATTGTAGAATTTCAACCTCTAAATCCTTATATTCATTCTATGCATAATTGCCCCCAATTATTCTTATTCTTTGTGTCAGATGAAGGAAAAATTACCGGCTTTTCCTCCTCTTAAATCCACTCAAACAACACACATCAGTCACGGCTCATTGATGTATGTGATGATTTTATTCTTTTCCATTGGTATGGGGCTTGGTTTTGGTGTGATGTGATAGTTCTGTCACACCATACCATATCAAATAATCAACCTAACCTAAACTCACGCCCCTGCAAAAACTTCGCCACTCAGAAGAAGATAAAAATTAGAACAAGTCCATCACCACATAAAAATTTGTAATGGGAACAGACAAATTTGTTATAATTATATAAATTTCTTTTTTATTTAATATCAATTTATAACATTCGTCAAT